TTGACGACCATAAGTGACCACTATTGCCCTTGTCTCATTCATCATTTCCAACTTGACCTTAACAATTGAGATGGTTTAACTCATCATCATTGGCCCTACCTTCCATCACTCACCACCACTTTAACATTTATCTTAGAGACATAATTTCGTTTTAACTGCAGGGTTTCAACACAAGATTTCAGTCTTGGAGTCGACGGCTCTTCTAGGGTTCCTAAGGTTCAAGTCTATCGGTCTGTTAGGAAGATTTGTATAAGTTATACGTTTCGTCACAACATAGGTCATCGATAGGATCCCGAAGACCCACCAAAGCACCAATAAATGTATTCCAAAGATCTTGGACAAATCCAAAGTCTTACTTTTCTCAAGTTAATCGGGAGACAATATACACATATGGCGAACTGGGATCGAATAAATACGTACCTTTATTAATATATCATTAAACAAATCATAATATAATACATATTGCGATTATTATGTCCAAAAAATATAATCATAATATAATAAAATTAAGGAATATTTTATTAATTTAATGAAAATAATAAAGAAGATTGGGAGGATACCTTGGTTTTGGAATAGAAGTAGAAGTAGAAGTAGAAGAAGCCATGATGCTGCCACTAAAATTTGATCCCTTCAACCTCAAACTTTAATCATTTAAGGTGAGGTTGCAGTTGGACCATACCATCTATTTATACCCCAAATTCAATCAAATAATAAATCTTTTTKATCAAATTTCTTTTTTAATCATTTTTTTTAAATTTATGTATAACCTATTTTCATATCAAAGAAAAGGAAAAAGGAATATTTACGCAGGTTACATACAAAATTTATCTGAAAATCGAGTTTATACAAATGCGTAAGGTATTTGCGTAAACTCTGGTTAAATGACAATTACACTAAAAAATGAATTTGGTTGAAAATATTGACTATTTCGGTTAGTTTTTTCTATTTATAGGCATCAAAAATAAACTGCGTAATATATTAAAACATTTTGAACAGATTCTTTATGATTTTTTAAAATAAAAAATTCAAAAAGTTAAAATCTTTAAACAAATTAATTTCAATTCTAACATTTTCTATTTTAAAGAATTCTTTATAACTTTTTAGAACTTTTAACACATTAATTATAACTTTTTAAAATAAAAAAAATAAAAAAATTGAATTCCTACAAGAACTCGAATTCTTGTTCATGAACCTGGATTCTAATAAGAGCATGTGACTCTAACATATTTTCTATTTTAAAGTCTTCGACATTTATTATATTATTAAAATATTTTATAACTTTATCATTTGAATATAGTTTTTAAACACAAATTATATGAATAATAATCATTTAATCTTATTGGTTGCAACGAAAAACACTTATTTCTCTATCTTTGAATAAAATTTTAGAGAATTTTCTAAATTTTGAGTTTTTTGTATATTTTATAGAATAATATACAAAATGTATGTTGAAACTAAATAGAGAACAAACTCTCAATTTTTATCTATCTTTAAACAATCTGTTAGAAATGCACTCAGTAAACAAAAGAAATCATATCTGGTTTAGTTAACCTTTATAACAAATATCTAATAAAATAAAATACACATGATTTATTTGTATAGATTTATACATCTCAGGATATTTAAGATATAACTATTGGAAGGGAAATTTATTAAAATAATTATTTTTTATGGTTGGTTTCATCTGTTAGTCATTTTCTCTTCAAGTTTACTAAAATAGTCATAGGTTAGCAAAACCCACGTCCGTAAAAAAAATTAAAATTGCAGATCTAGGGCTATTTTGGTAAACATTGTAAAGAAAATGACTAAGAGGTGAAACCAACCAGTAAAAATGGCTATTTTAATTCGTTTTTGTTATTGAAATATATAAAATAATGTTCCTATATTAACATATGCAATTTAAGATATTGTGATCTCGATCTATTTACTTAAAGAATAAGAAATTATATCAACTCGTTGAATCAATAAAACTTGTTAGATCAGAATGTTGAAGTTTTGTACCAAACACTTCAATAATTGAGTTTTATTTCAAAAGGTCTTTCTTTAAACATCAAGTGTCGTACACCTTTTGTATTCTTCTTGCTTAATCTGCACCTTGCATTCAACGACCATCTTATGAATTCCTTGAATCTCAACAGATTTTCACTAAAATCTTTAATTGATTACTGATTTCTCTCGTATATTTTTCTTTTTTGTTCTTTTTTTTGCTCCAGATCTTCGATCGTTACACTACGACTCTAAATTTCTTTACACTACGATGAAGAAAAATGAAGCGATGACCCGTGTTTGTGCACCGTTGGGGTCCACCTCTTATTACAAATTTATATTTTAATTTAATATGTAAAAAAGATAAAAGATAATGGAGATGAAAATGCTTTAAAAAATGACTTATTATGCACGTTTTACATGATTTTAACGGATTTTTGTTAACAACGTTAGTTTTATAGACTAAATCGTCATAAAATAAATATTTTAAATAACATAGTAAAAGAAATTAAGAACTTAAATAAAGTTTCCAAATTTTAATACGAATTTCTTGTTTAAATTTAAAAGAATATTACGAATGTCTTATAATCACTAATAAAAAGTAAACGAAAATGTTTTTGTGCTTAAAATATAAATAAAATGAATATTAGTCGTTATTAATTATTATAAAATAGAGTGAACTACGGATTCAGTTCCAATAGTTTGTCGAAAATTATAACTAACGTTTCTAAACTCGATTAATTATAGATTTGGTCTCTGTGGTAGTTATTTTTGCATTATTACGGTCTCTCAACTAAACGGTGGCAACGACGGCTCTATTAACTTAAGAGTAAAATCATCAAAAAGTCTTTGGACTAGCGGTATCTGAGCCTTTTTCCCTTTAAGGTTTGATTAAACAGTTGAGCTTTCATCGAGCTGGAAGAATTTAAATGCCAACAAAGTTTGGTATAAGGATATGTTATTGACACGAATTTGATATTTTCCTAACTCCGCAACAACAATGTTTGCAGTCCCACCCATATCGTGCTTTGAACTTCTGTATGCATGAGATGCACCCATCGTCACCACCCGCAAGTGTAATAATAATCATCATATTCTTTTACAAAACCATGGAGATGAATTTTACATTATGTAAAAATAAATCAAGAGTGGTAGTATATGCGCTTGCGACAACTAGCAGATTTACCTTCGCCTGCAGCCACGACTCACCATGGGATTAATCTGAACGAAACTTAAGATCGCCCATTACAAAAACTTGTGTATTTTTAATATGTAAACCATCGGTTAAATATCATTTACGTTACTTGTATAAACATAAAATAGAATTGCATCAAGTGGAACCTTAGGGGCCGTTTATCCAAATGCTTAAGTAGGACGCTTCCCGGTAAGAATCAACACTCTCATTTACCTTACCGAGTAAGAGTATAATCCACTAAAACGATATTTATAGCAACAATTTACTCGGTAAATGCTAGCCATGTAAGAGTTGTCACTCTCACAAATAAGACTTTCCATCTTTGTTACTCCTTTTACCAGATAAGATTTCTTAATCTTTATCATGTTTATCAGATAAGATAAATGGTCTGATAAACATTCATCAATTACACCGATTTTTATTAAATGTTTTAAATGAGACGTGACAAAGTATCTAAAACTAGATTTCAATGTATACCCGTCCCCTACTTCTTCCTCCCCTTCTTTATTCGCAAGCGACAAATAACAAGCTTTTTTAATTTGGATATTTATTCATAAAAAAAATAGTGTAAATTAAGTTTATGTTAAAAATTGTAATTTCCATCTCTGTGATTTAGAAATTATGAGTTTTGTCCTTATGATTTATGTTTTATTATTGTTTTGGACCCATGATTTGCAATTTTTTTTACTGTTTTGGTTAATTATACTTAAAGTTAAAAATTAATGTAGGAACGAAAATAATAATAAATTGTAAACTATAGAGACAGTAAATCATAATTTTCTAAACCACAGGAACAGAAATCACAGTTTTTAAACCACTTGACATAAATCAAAATTATTAACAAACCACTTGTATGAAAATTGTAACTAACTCTAAAAAATATATGTGCATTGGCATCATAACGTAATTCTAAAAAATTATTATTTATTGACAAATAACAAGCTTTTTTAATTTGGATATTTATTCATAAAAAAAATAGTGTAAATTAAGTTTCTGTTAAAAATTGTAATTTTCGTCTTTGTGATTTATAAATTATGAGTTTCGTCTTTACGATTTATGTTTTATTATTGTTTCTTGGATTTGAACCTGAGACCTCGAGATACTTTTGACCTTTAGAGAGCAAACTCAAACCAATTAGACACTTTTATAACTAACTAGAATGGTACTCGCGCAATGCAGCGAGATATATCTCGATTTTAATGTTTTATTTTATTCTTTGTCTTTGTCGATATTATAATACGATTTTATGTGTTTTTAAGAAAACAATAATGATTTTATTTTTGAATCAAATATAAATTTGAAAATATCATAAAAATTTGAAAAAAAAAATATATCAATGTTAATATCAAATCAACTATTTAAAAGTTCTCATTTTTTTAATGTAATTTCTTTAATTTATTTTTTTAATTTATTTTTTTATTATAATTTAATTTAAGTTTAATAATGAAATAATTTATTTTTGGTTTAATTATATAACATTTTATAAAGATAATAATTAAGTATTATGTTAGAATTCAATGATTATTTTAATTATATTTTAAATTTTTTTTTATTTAAAATGAGATGTTTATTCTATATTTGATTATGTTTATCTGTCAGTTAGTTACATGAATTAAGATATGAAGCTTTCATAAGTTGTACTTATGCACAATCTACTTGTAATCTTGAGTTTTAAGTAACATGCATTAATAAACAGTACTTTATGCATAAAAAGTAGTTTTTAAGAATTTTTGTCAAATATTTTATAATATAGCATAGATATTTAATGTTGAAATGGTCGAAATTGACCAATGAAATGCAAGCTATCGTATCAAAGAATACAAACTACAAACGACATCCACACATTTAAGACAATCATATATGCCAAATTTATTCATTGCTCGGAGTTTCATTCAGAACTTGGACCGATAAATTCGTTGAGCATTTTGGACCCAGAAATTCATGAAAATTCAATCAGATCTTATGTCGCGATCATTTATTTATATAATATCTACTCATAGTTTGATTTTTCTTAAAAAATATCGATTATTACTCATGGGTCATTTATTAAACACTTATTTGTTAAATGCTTACCGAATAATTTTTTTTATCGGATGAACATGAAAAGGGCCAAGAATCTTACCTGTTAAGAGCAATAAGAATGATGAAGAGTCTTATCTGGTAAGTGAGGATGGGGATTCTTACTCAGGTAAGCGTTTATCCAGTAAATTATTGAATTTGATATGTTTTGATGTATTAAAATCTTGCGTATGAAAATAGATCATAGTGTTAACTCATATCGGTAAGCACTTACCAGGTAAGCAATTGGGTAAACGACCCCTCGTTTAAGTTCTAACTCGGTCTTATTTAAATCAGGTTTTCATTTTGAAGATTCGTATACGATACTTCAACCACTTAAAACATCCACAATTCGGTTTTATTTAAAACCATTCACTACAACAAAATTGAGTTTATAGGATGTCCTCAATCTCTAAACGTCTCAATAGACCGTTTTATATGACCAAAGTATAAAACTTCTTATTTAAAGGCGTTGTAATAAGTTTATATGACGTTTTTGGACGTCTTAACAAGTTTTTTTTAGGATATTTTTAATATAAAGCGTCACATTAGCAACTTTATAAGACACTTATATGAGAGAGTGTCATATAACCTCAATTTTTTTGTAGGACACTTGTATTTATAAAACAATTTTTTAAATAATGTCCTATAAAGTTACTAATGAGACGTTATATATTCAAAGTGTCTTAAAAAACTTATTAAGACGTCAAAAAAACGTCATATAAACTTATTACAATGCCTTTAGATAATACACTTTATTTTTTGGTCTTATAAAAAGGTCTATTAAGATGCTTAGGAATTAGGAGCGTCCTATAAACCCGATTTTGTTGTAGTGATTATTCTTCTGAATGAAAAGTCATGGTTTAAAAATTATTCTTTGAATGAAATTATGAAAAGTCATGGTATAAGTTTATAAATGTCAACTGTCATACACCACTTATTTCATTTTCATGTCTAATATTTTCATCTACATGTGATCAAATTCCCATTCATGTGGCTGCTAAATGATAATGACTCCAATGAGAACATGTAAAACTCAACCCATGTAATGAGTTTTTATTTATTATAACACTTTTAGATAAGACGTTTTATTTTTGGGTCCTATAAACTTAACACTATATATAGTGGTGTATTAGGACACTTATTAAACTTTGTTAACGTGCTATAAACCCGATTTCTTTGTAGTGTTGTATAACATTTGTCGTTTTATCAATATTATTTAGAATGATAAACCATATTCTCATTATTAAGATTTTGATTTATTAATTGGGATTAGTTACCTATCGAAACCATGAGGTTGTGATAAATGTGTGATTGTCTAACCCTAATCGATCGAAACCATGATCAAATCGAGTGCGCTGTTATGATAGTGATATCACATGATTATCATACCCATATCACACCAAATCGGTAGTCGATTTCCTAGGTTAACCCTAACCGAGTGGAATCCTTGTGATAATTGTGTGATAATCACATGATTATCACATCCAAATCATATCAAATCGTGTTGAAATAAGCGATAACCATAATAGCCCATTATGTTATCCAGATTATTGGATTTAGTGTGATCGTGTTTTTAAAATTTTATCACTTTGAATTTCAATATTACCTTTTTGCCTCTCAATTTTTTTTGAATTGTTTCAATTTCATTTTTAATTTAAAAAATCTTTTAATTTTTATTATTATCACAATATGAGGTTAATAGGTTGTTCTCGCGTTTTCGCAAATCACAGGGGTTCTCGATTGAACCCTTCCCTACACACACACACACACATACATGGTGGAGGTTCAAACGAGAACACCTCTATTTTATGAGAACGCGAGAACACCCTTATCACATGTGATAATACACGTGAGGAGACCTTATGATGTGCGGACGACGTGTTCTACGACTTAGATCGTGCCAAAGGTTTTCTGTGTCTATGATTTAACATCACATGTGATGGTCTTGATGAATTATAGTATCATATCAACAACACCCTTATCACATGTGATAATACTTGTGAGGGGGCTTTAGTGGTGTAAGGGTGACTTGGCCCGCAACCAAGATCGCATCAAAAATCGTCAGCATATCTGATTTAGTATCACATGTGTATCATATGTGATGAGATAATAGTATCACATGTGATTGTCTATAGTAAAATGGTGTTCTTACGTTCTCGTAAAATGAAGGTATTCTCGTTTGAACCTTTCCCCATATATATATATATATATATATAATTACTTTTACTTTATGTCAAATCAATAAATTTGTTTTATTTCAAATCAATTAAAGTATTTATATTATTAAAAATTACGTTTTCCACAATTGAAAGATCGTGAATGTGAAATAGTCATCACTTGTGTGAAGTTGTAATAGAGTGAAACAAGTTTCTACCTATTATTAAAAATTTGATGAAAAAAATAATGGATATGCATGTTATGTACAAATACAAAATAAAAAAAAAACAGACGACAAAAATAACAAATTACAATCGTAAGATTGCATGTAGGACGGGTATGAAAATGCAGGCATAGGAGGGGTATGGAAATGTTGTTTTTATATGAAAAGAATATTAAATTTTTACACTTTATAATCTTATAAGTATTTATTTAATTTATTACCTCCCTTACTTTATCATTTTATGTTTTATACCTTTATTATATTTATATTATTGCGGACCTATATTTATATCAAAAAATATTCAATATTGAGCTCATTTCGAAAAAAATTGACAAGACGTTATAATATAACTTGTTAAAATAAAAACGTATTTTAGTTAATATACGATTATGTATGTTGATGTGATAAGAGTGTAAAACGGAAAATGAAAAAATAAGGGACGTAAAACAAATTAATTAAGTAATTTTAAGCGTATAAAACGTAATTTTTAAAATATATTTCTTCTAGTATATATGATATAATAATATAATAATATCAAAAAATATTCAATGTTGGGTTCATTTCGAAGGATTTGACGAGATGATTATAACGGTTTAACTTGTTAAAATAAAAACGTATTTTTTAACGTATCTTAGTTAATATACATATAATTATGTGTATTAATTTAATAAAGATGTAAAATGAAAAAAATGAAAAAGTAAGAGACATAAATTAAATTAATTAAGTAATTTTAATAGAATAAATTGTATTTTACAATTAAAAATAATATTAAGAAGTTTGATATGTGAGATGAGAAGACACTTAAGTGCCGTTTATTAATTGCTTACCCGATAGGTGTTTATCGAGTAATTTTTCTCACCGGATGAACACGGCAAGACCCAAAAATCTTACCTGGTAAGAGTGATTATAAAGATAGAGAGTCTTACCCGATAAGTGAGGACAACGATTTTTACCCGAATAAGTATTTACCAAGTAAATTGTTGCATATCATTCAACTTTGATGTACTACGATCTTATCCATAAAATAAATTATAATGTTGAATTATAACAATAAACGCTTACTAGATAAACATTTAGGTAAACAACCCCTTGATGGGTATGGGAATATCAACCTCCGAATAATAATTGAAGAACTTGTAAGTTTTAATCAATATTAAATAGATGAATAAATTTGTATTTAAATATTTCTAAAAATAGCAATGGTCATTATCAATTGTTATTATATATTTAGATATTTCTAAAAACAGCAATGGTCATTATCAAGTATTATCATATATTTGACAAAAGTAATTGTCATCAATGTGCTGGCTGCTTTTGTTGAAACCATTACTCAGGTCATGTTTGTTTTTTGTTTTATTTAAGTTTTTATTAGTTTCTTAGGTTTGATTTGTTAAGACGTAAGATCATTTATACTGTTTGTTTTTTCAAATTTTCAGAATCATTTATATCTTATTGTCCTCTTATCTGATAAGAGGTAAACCAACATCTTATTTGCCTCTTATTGTTTTTGTAACCTTTAGCAACACCATTTCTCAATATATTAACCTTAATCGATCATTTCTCTCAATTGGTCGTTACCAATTCGATCCTCACAAATATAAATTTCGTAACGATGATGAATAAATATGTGAAATTGTATAAATATATCTATAAATTCAACATTATAATTTCCTAATCAGTAAATAGGCAATTTAAACAAATTCAGACAGTAATCGCTTTATAAAAACAGACAGTCTCATTGATTCAGAGTTTAGCACCATCTCTTATTAATCAGAAATGAAATAAGACTTCAGATTTCATCATCTCTTAAAAAAGCAAACGCCACCTTAATGTTGTAGCAATTACATTCTCAAGTATTTTTCAACTATAGAGTTGTTTACCAATAATCATTGGTAACCAACAAACTGAAAGGTAGTTGCAGCTAATTACCTGTGTTTTAATCTAAGTCAACTAATTTTAGTTTGTAACATGATTCATTAGATTCCTCATTCATATGTGTGATATGTATCACAAAATAAAATCATGCAAATTGAGATTCATCATACAACCCATACAAATTGAGAGATACATGATACACAGATAACTTGACAACAGCTACGAGCCCGTGTAATTAAGCCACATGGTCATTCAAAATGATTCTTCCACTTGTGGTAAGTTTTTCGTTCTGAAAGAGAAACAAGATCAATTCATCTTGAAACTAATCTCTCTTTCTAGATCTGATTTTGGATCTCATAACACCAAAGCGTTAGTACAAGGCAAGAATGTCACGTTAGCCTTCTTAAGGGTTTTTTTTTTCTTCAGAGGGGCATTTAAATCAAAATGAAAGTATGGTGACACTGTAATGAAGGAACCATACTAGAAAGAGAATAGAAAGGGCCTTGATTTTTGCTACTTTGTTTAGTTTAGTGATTGATATCTTAGAGAAGCTGGTAAAGTAATTAAATACAGACTCTTTCGAAAGCAATGGTGGCTAGGAATGAAAAGAATTTAAAATAGCTGGCTTTAATTCAGAAGGCGAGATTGAAAGGAGTAACACTTGGTAGAATGGTTCATGGATTTGGAATCAAATACAATCTTTAAAAGATAACAACGTAAATTACATACAATTCTTAGACTTTGTCATATGTTCTCTTTGCATATTATGAGGTTTTGGTACGAGAATACATTTTTCAACCAAGAAAACAACATAAAGGAAACAACACAAGCACACAAAACATAGAACACAAGAACGATGTAATGATCTAGGAATCTATCCTGTCCATGAGAACAAACCAAATGCGGGATTAATAACAGAGTAACCACCATCTACAACCAAGTTATGTCCACTTATATACCCAGACTCATCACTTGCTAGAAAAAGAGCTGCATTTGCAATATCTTGTGCTCCAAGCTTCTTGTCCTTAAGGTTTGAGAAAACACTTGAGTTTTCATCCAAGTTACAGAATTTAAGTGCTATTGGAGTTGGGATAAAATAGGGTGATATGCAATTAACACGAATTTGATACTTCCCTAGTTCTACGGCAACATTCTTTGCTAGTCCAACCACACCATGCTTTGAACTTGTATAAGCATGAGTTGTACACCCACCCGTGACGGAAGCTACACTTGCAGTCGTGATGATGTTTCCGCTGCATTTTGGGATCATCACTCGTGCTGCATGTTTGGTTCCCAAGAACACTCCGGTTAGATTGACACTAATAACACGTTCAAAATCTATAAGGCTATTGTCTAAAATGCTAAGTTTTGGCTCATCAATAATCCCTGCATTGTTAACCATGATGTCGAGTTGTCCATGCCTAGCGATGGTGGTGTTGATGGCATTCTCTACATCTGATTCAAGGGTTACGTCGCAGTGAACGAAAGACACTAACTCAGTACCCAATTCTTGGCAAATCAATTCTCCCAAGTCATCTTTGACATCAATAATAACCACTTTCGCTCCATGCTTTACGAAAGACCTCACAATACATTCTCCAATGCCATGAGCTCCACCGGTAACAATAGCAACCTTATTTTCAAGTCTGAAACATATATTTTGTTTCATGTATTAAGTAAGCACATGAGTGGAAGACATGTTTCAATAATCCTGTTTAATCATGTAAATTTAATTGTTGTTAACAATGTTCTTATTCTTCTTTGTATTAAAAAAAGGAGTGTGATTTTTATTTAATGATTAAATATCAAGACATGTCGGCAAAAGTGTCTTATATAAGACTATATATATATATATATATATATATATATATATATGTGTGTGTGTGTGTGTGTATATATATATATATGTGTGTATGAAGGTTCAACTTTTTTTTTACCTTCACAATATTTTTTGTGAAGTTTCAAGTGTAAAAATCGTGTCTCACGTATCTCACGAAAACAATTTTGTCTCACGTGAACCCAATTATATATATATATATATATATATATATATGTGTGTGTGTGTGTATATATATATATATATAGAGAGAGAGAGAGAGAGAGAGAAATGTTTAAATGAGAACGTCAACTATCTAAGAAAACACAAAGATGTTATTAATGTACAAAATCACATGTGATTTTACATTAACAACAAAAAGATGGAAGCGGACGACTTTGGAACCTGTATGATTTTGTACGTGAATCATATATGATTTTATACATTAACGGCATTTTTCTTGTTTTCTTAAAAAGTTATCGTTCTCATTTGAACCTACTCATATGCATATAGAGAAAAGTCCATTGTGAGAAATGATAAATATTTGAGAAATAAATATGTGATTTTAGCCCTTCATCTAGTCAACCATTGCGGGTTTGACCGTGAAGCACCGAATAATTACTCACATTGGTATGCAGTATATAGAGAGGTTGTTTCTTAACTTTTACAAGTAGTTCATATGTGAATCACACGTATTAATACTTGAGTCAGTTAAAATAGTTTATATGTGAATTACACAAGTTCACATATGAACATATGGTTCATATATGAATCACATACATTCATATATAAACTCCGTTTGCCGCCTATTTATAAAAGTTATGAAACCACCTTCTCTATTTTCGGTCTAACCGCTATTTTTGACAAGTCAAAACTGCAATTATAATCAGTCAAATCCGATCTTAATCGTGATCCTTTTACTTCTCAAATATTTAGCACTTTTCAAAATAACTTTCATATATATATATATATATATATATATATATATAGAGAGAGAGAGAGAGAGAGAGGGGAGCGATCAAATGCAAACCACTCAATTTGTACAAACCGTGCTAACCACTCTCATCCGTCGATTTCATTGTTTAATCTTATGAAATTATTTCATGAAATTGTTTGATTTTGTAAAATTGTTTCATATAATACTTTTTTTGATGAAGTTGTTTCATATATGGTTATGAAATTGTTTCATATAATACTTAATGAAATTTTAATGAAAAACTGTTTCATGTATTTCTCTAAAATTAAAATAATGAAAATGATATTATCCATAATTAACATTCTACATAATAAAAATAATTAATCAATCTCTTATAATTACAAAAAAAATGAACAAAATAAAAAATTATGATTAGTTGAATGAGATTTGTACGATTTATACAAATAAAATTGTTTGTAAAGTAAACCTCATATATATATATATATATATATATATATATATATATATATATATATAG